AATACAGCCTAAATATTTTTCCCCCACAGTAGAGTACATTGTACAGGAAACTTGTACAGTTTGAAACTTGGACAGTAAAACGGCTCAAGTTTGGCTGCACTCTCTGTCCAGCCTCACGCATTGTCAGCCCATGGTTGATGACATGATCTACTATGGTTGCTCTGATTTCATTTGAAAGTGTTTGTCTTCTTTGGCCATGAACTCCTCTACCTGCTCTACCCCTACCTCTCACTCTTCCTCCCCTCTTATTCTCAACCTCCCTCTTCCTCTTCCTCTCTCTGCAACGTCTTCCATTGTTGTTGTAAAAAAAAAGGTGCTCACCTGTGGTCTTTTCATAGTGCTTACATCCTGATTGAAGTGTTAACAATTAACCATTGCGGTGTTTGGCCAGGTGGCACATGTAATTGGCCAATTAGCTCATGTAGTGTCATTTTGAATGGTAGTGTTTTGAAATGGCAAACATGTCACTTTATGTCAGATTGTTGTGTCTTATGCAGAGAACTGTGTTCAGCGCATTTAAAAAGTGGCATTTTGAAATGCAAAATGTGTGTAAAGCAGAAAATGTGTTTAGATTTTTGGAGACTTGAGAAGAAGTGTTGCTCTCTGTGTGTCCGTTTAAATAATTGTGCTGTGCATGTCATTTTAGTGTGTTGGCAATTGGGAAAAACTGTAAACACTCCAAGGATACAACTGAAGAAGATGTTAGCCGTATTTATTAATGTGACTACAGAAAATGTGATCATGCAACATCCTGTATTTAAATCTTTGCTGTCACCATTGAAGGAATTTCTTCAGCTTCATCAACTAAACGTCCTGTGATTGTTGCACTTAACGTATAAAATGTTTGCACTTCTGAAAGGTAAAGTTTGTCCTTTCGTTTGTCCTACTTCACTGACTCTCTCAATAAGTAGGATGTTTGTTCTCATCTGGGCAACGCCGCTCTTCTCTGTGACAGGTACAGTGTAATACTTTACTGAATCTTGTTACTGTAGTGGTGTGTGCTTCTATGCAGGCCTATAGGTGTTTAGCTGCTCTTGAACGCACCTCTAGAGCATCAAATTAGCTCCACCCAGATCAAACCCCCTCATTAGCAGAGCTTATTTAAGGCAGCTGTGTTATTATGGTTGTCTCTTTGCCTTTTCCCTGCCTGTAGGTTGCCACATGTAACCCTCTGATGTTTAGGTAGGTGATTGAGTTAAAGAAAACCTTATGTTTGTGTTTTGTTTTTCCACTGACTGAGGTTATGTTTTGCAGCAGTATGCTGCCTGTGTGTTATGTGTTTTGGCTGATTCCAAGGTTCCCATTCTGGAGAGGCATGATGCATTGTCCTGTACAGAGCACTGTGTGTTAAGGTATGAGAAGCTTAATGAGCAACAAGTTAGGTATGGTAACTACCTGAGATGACATTGCACACTGATTACTTTTTTAAACCTGTTGTGTCTTTAATTGTAGGTTGTCAGCTGCTGTTTTGCCTTTGTTAAATTAGGATTTTAACAACTGTTGCTGGTACACTGGTGGTAGTGCCTCCAGGTGGCACTCCCCAGTTGACTACGCTTTGTATTTTTTTTTGTTTTAGTGGTCTGTTTGTGGTGGAAGCTAGGCACACTAGTTTGGCTCCCTTCACTGATTGTAGTGTTAACGGCACTGGGGCACGATTTGGTAGTGAGACAACTTGCAGTGAACTGGATTGCAGTGGGTAAATTGGTGCACCCCTGGAGCACACCTTAGTTTGACTCTCCACAGCTGGCCCACTCTGTCAATTATATTCAATAACTGGGAGTGTTCTTAAAAAAAAAAAAAAAAAAAAAAAAAAGAAACTTGTCTGCAAAATTTAATCTTTTGTATTCAATTGTAATTTGATATTTATTTACATTATTCATCTTTTCAGGCACTTCCAGTTGCCAGTTATCAATAAATGAGTTATTCTTTCGGAGCCATGTCTGTTACTTCAATAAGCCTGTGTAGCCTTTGTATAAAGGGTTAGTCAAAGCAGAGCATTTCCTGGGGAAGTCCCCAGGTGGCGTTGTTGGATAGTTAGTGTCTGGTGGCGATTCCTTTTAGTGTCACCACCAGCCTTGCCTCATAACCATAAGTACCTCCGTGACGCATTATCTAAAGAGTTTCCCTTGATGACATCGCCCTGGCCTCCAGCACAACTGAGGAATCTTGGAGTTATCTTTGATCAGGACATGTCATTTAAGTCTCACATTAAGCAAATTTCAAGGACTGCCTTTTTTCACCTACATAATATTGCGAACATCCTGTCTAAAAAGATGCAGAAAAACTAGTCCATGCATTTGTTACTTCCAGGCTGGATTACTGCAATTCTTATCAGGCTGCTCAAAAGTCCATTAAGACTCTTCAGCTGATCCAGAATGCTGCAGAACGTGTTCTGACAGGAACCAGGAAAAGAGATCACATTTCTCCTGTTTTAGCTTCTTTGCATTGGCTTCCAGTAAAATCCAGAATGGAATTTAAAATCATTCTTCTTACCTACAAAGCTCTTAATGATCAGGCACCATCTTATCTTAAAGAGCTCATAGTACCTTACTACCCCACCAGAGCACTGCGCTCCCAGAATGCAGGGTTACTTGTGGTTCCTAGAGTCTCCAAAAGTAGACTAGGAGCCAGAGCATTCAGCTATCAAGCTCCTCTCCTGTGGAACCAGGTTCCAGTTTGGGTTCAGGAGGCAGACACATCCACATTTAAGAGTAGGCTTAAGACTTTCCTCTAATAAAGCTTATAGTTAGGGCTGGCTCAGGTGAGTCCTGAACCATCCCTTAGTTATGCTGCTATAGGCCTAGACTGCCGGGCAATTTCCCATGATGCACTGAGCTCCTCTCTCTACTTTCTCTCCCTCTGTATGCAACCTCATCCCATTATTGCATGTTACTAACTCGACTTCTCCCCTTTCTGGTAGTCTTGTGCTTTCTCGTCCCTCGTTCTACCACTTCCTGCTGTGGTGTCTGGATCTGTTGCTGCGGGTCACCTGCTGCCCCGTGTTCCTGCTTGACACCCTCTGCTACGACTATTGTTACTAGTCTTATTAACATTATGATTGTTATCAACACTACTATACCTACTCTATAACACTTTTCATTTAGTCTATAGCAACATCACCTTTACTGTCTGTGTGTATTGTGTAGGCTGCCTCTCTCTTTCATCCATCTTTTCTCTCTTCCTCTTGTCCATTCTCTCACCCCCAACCGGTCGAGGCAGATGTCCGCCCACCCTGAGCCATGGTTCTGCTTGAGGTTTCTGCCTCTTAAAAGGAAGTTTTCCTTGCCTCTGTCACCTAGTGCTTGCTCTTGGTGGGAATTGTTGGGCTTCTGTAGATAACGGAGTACAGTCTGCAGTCAGCTGTGAGATAACTGTTGTGATTTGGTGCTATATAAATAAAATTGAATAACAATACTGATAAGAATGTCAATGTTAAATTATAAATGTCTTTAAAATGTTATCCTTCCATTTATGTAGAATCAGATTTGTGCCAATTTAGTCAAATTCTTAATCAAAAATAATTTGAGAAAACTGCAGCAAAAACATTCTGGTAGGCTGCTGGCAATGGCAAAGTTTGCATGTGGACAAAAGGCCGAAATGCATAGAAAGCTATTTATTTTTAAAGCTTACAGGTGGTTTTCAGCTTGGAGCTACATACACTGCTCAAAACAATAAAGGGAACACACATCCTAGCTCTGAATGAAATACTCATTAAATACTCCTTTCTTTAGATATTTGAATGTGCTGACAACAATCACACAAATTATCAATGGAGATTAAATTTATCAACCCATGGAGGTCTGGATTTGGAGTCACTCAAAATCAAAGTGGAAAACCACACTACAGGCTGATTCAACTTTGATGTAATGTCCTTAAAACAAGTCAAAATGAGGCTCAGTAGTGTGTGTGGCCTCCACGTGCTTGTATGACCTCCCTACAACGCCTGGGCATGCTCCTGATGAGGTGGCGGATGGTCCCCTGAGGGATCTCCTCCCACACCGGACTAAAGCATCCGCCAACTCCTGGACAGTCTGTGGATGGAGCGAGACATGATGTCCCAGACGTGCTCAATTGGATTCAGGTCTGGGGAACGGGCGGGCCAGTCCATAGCATCAATGCCTTCCTCTTGCAAGAACTGCTGACACACTCCAGCCACATGAGGTCTAGCATTGTCTTGCATTAGGAGGAACCCAGGGCCAACCGCTCCAGCGTATGTTCTCACAAGGGGTCTGAGGATCTCATCTCGGTACCTAATGGCAGTCAGGCTACCTCTGGCGAGCACATGGAGGGCTGTGCGGCCGCCCAAAGAAATGCCACCCGCCATCATTACTGACCCACCGCCAAACCGGTCATGCTGGAGGATGTTGCAAAAACAACCATGCAATGGTTCCCACACACATTCAAACAGCAACTAAACATTTCAATCTTCTGAAGGTTTTATTAAATTACCAGCTCACATTGGAGCAACATGTTTTTCTAATTTCCTCTGCCTCACTTTTACTATATTATGCCAGTGATATTACATACTCTGGATTAATGTGAAACTCACAAGTAGTCTTTCAGAAGCATTGGGTTTAATTAACAGCAGCTTAAAAAACGTGCACAAATTATCAAGTATATAAAGAAACCCTTAGTTGAGCTGATTGTATAAAAATATATATTATGCTGAAAAGTTTTCCCTTGTTTCTTCTTGGCCTTCAGCTGTTTTATATATACCCTATATCGGCTATAATTTGAATATTACTGAATCATTTTATATAAAGATTTATGATTTGGTAAATGGGGGTGTGTACACAATAGCCACTGAGTAGAACACTTGAATAGTTATACAATTGACAGTATGTAATTTCAAAAATCAGATCAACATGGACCAAGTGCAGTGCTTCCCTGTCATCTGCATGATGTTCCTTTGGTATGTTACTACATCATCATTTTATGGTTTGAAGGCTCTGTCAGTGCAGAGACATCATGTTCCACTCGTTCTTCTCTCCATAGGAAAACACAAGAAAAAAGGTGAAACCAAACAAAGAGGACAGAACGTACGTCACTGCAGAAGACAGACCCATCACCAGAGTAGGATGACATTGGCCAGCCTCAGAACTAACAAGTGTCACCTTCCACTGAATTTGGGGAAGATGGCAGGACCATCATCTGACTGATTTGTTAAATCAGAGCTTTTCAAAGTCTGGGACTGTGGGCCACCCCTCAGACATAGTTTGGGAAAAGGCACACCCTCACCACCCCTTAGTTTACTTGCTTAGTTTTGCATGCTTATACCAGGAAAGGAAACTTCCTGAATCCTTGCTGTTGCACAAAGATGGGAGAAATTGAAAAGTGAAGAGTCAGAACCACTCAGCAGAAATCACTGTGGAGAAAAGAGAGCAGGAGAACAAGCTAGAGGTAAAACACAACATTTACCTTGTTAAATCTTTTTGAATAAAAATAATACTGATAAGTAAAGGTGACTGTTGGCACTAGAGAAATGGTGCTTAAGGGCTGGGAGGATTACAGATGTTCTTTTTTGTCAGAGTTGTTTTTTGTTACTGTGGGGGTATCAATGATTCAGGGGACCCACACTCGGACATGGGCCCTGGAGTATTGCAGAAATTATATATATTAATTCAGAGCTGTTATAATTCTGTTTATTTATATAGGACCTTTCTAGAGCAGATTTTAAAAAACTGCTTCACAATAAAAGTATCAGATTAGCTGCACCCTGGGTGAAGAGGTGGCCAAATTTAATTAAGCAACTGTGGAATAACTGAATATGCAACATCCTGTATTGAGATGTGTGATGTCAACTCTGGAGCTTCACCTGTTTCATTTTCAGCAACTGAATTGAACTGGGTATTTTTTGTTTTTTCTTACCACACTTGCAGTGTAACGTTGTCCTGTGGAGGGAGAGACTGAATGTCTCAAGCATCAAATCAGGATGTTTGCTCTCATCTGGGTGACTTTGCTTTTCTCTGTGAGAGGCAGTAATGCAGACACAGGTATGCATCATTACTGGATTTGGCTGGGATTGGCTCCAGCCCCCCGCGACCCTGTACGCAGGATAAGCGTTTGATGATGGATGGATGTCCTTCCTGAGGTTCTTTGGTTTTTCCACCCTGAATTTACCAGCTCATTAGCACCTGAGAGTCACCTGCTGCCCCTGTGTTCCTGCTCGACATCCTCTGCTACAATTATTATAACTAGTCCTTTTGTTATTATTTTTGTTATTAATGTTATTAACACTACTATAAATATCTGTACCATTATTCATTTTCAGTCTGTACCATTATTACCTTTACAAGCTGTACTTCTGTGTGGATATTGTGTTGGCTACTCCCTCCTGTAAGTTTGTGCAATTTACATTTAATTAAATGACTACAGGACTTAAGGGAGGATTTTGCTTTAGTTTTCAGAGATTTTAAAAATGATTCTGAGATCTTGGGCTAGTTGGGTAGAGCGGGACAATAATTAAAATAATTACATTGTTGTATTGTATCATAATGGTATAATCATATTGTGTTACCAGTTTATACAATTCTGTTATCCAAAACACAATGGAGCAATTACAGTTCCTTCTTTTTCTCTGGCCTTTTCATACACATTATTTGACAATACAAAATTTAAAGGTGACTCACTCACTGGGTCTATATGGCTAATAAAAAGTGGCCGAAACATGTACAGCATAATGATAATACTAGAACATTTATACAATCTACATTATGTCATTTCTTACTGTAGGTCCTGTGCAACATTGCAGATCTGAAGTGCTTCCCCAGGCCGTTGCTGGTATAGTGGAAGTGTCTTCTACAGAATCTACGTGATGTTCCTTTGGCATGTTACTCCATCTGCATGTTATGTTTAAATGGTATGTTGATGCACTGGAGACTTTTAGGCAAAAGATCATGACTCATTCTATATTTTTCTCCAAAGGAAAGCAAGAAAAAAAGTGAAACCAAGTCAAGTGGACAGAACTTAGAAGTCCCTGCAGAAAACAGACAGATCACCAGAGTATGGTGTTATTGGACAACCTTTGAAGTGACAAATCAGCTTTCACCATGTCTTTACAGTCTTCAGGGATGGTTTTCAGACAGCGTGCATGAAGGATTTTTTTTGCACTGGAATAAATAAATTTTGGACAAAAATTGTTGTTGAAGCTTTTATACCATCATTCATTTTCTAAATGTTGTTGAGTAAATGTACTCAGTTCTCACATTTGGCAGTTAATTGGTCACATCTTCAGCTGTGTGAGATTTCAGTTTGATTTAAACCTTTAAATGTAGTGTATTGTTTAAATTTCATCGTGCAGTTGGCAATGGTCTTAATATCTACGTTGTCAGTACTTAAAATAAAAATGTTTGCTAGCAGTACCAGTACTACACCATGTCACTGCTAGTAATAAAATACTTTCCCTGTGCTCTTATTCTAATATACGCATTTAACCTTTTTGTCAGCTTCATCTTATATTTGAAAGCATATTCTTTATGTAAAATCAGGAACTTGACAACCCTGTCAGAGACCATCTAGTATTTGAATGTCAAAATGTTTGACATATGTGATTTTTAAGATTCTCTTTTTAATGTGAGATTTCCCAATTGATTGTTATGATGTTTAGAAATATGTGTATATGTATGTATGTATCCAATATAGGCGGACGTCCCGAGGGCAGCAGAGGGACCAAGGGGTTCGGGCGGACCAGGGGAGCCATGGAGTTCAGGGGGGCTGACTGAGGACAGAGCAGGGGAGCCAGGTTGGTCCAGCGGGCAGGCCAAGGACTGAGCTGTGCCGCCCAAGGGCGAACTGGGGGAGCCAGGGAGGTCCGGCGGGCGGCCCGAGGACAGAGCTGGGGAGCCAGGAGGGTCGACCTCTCCAGAGGCCGGGGAGCAAGGCGAGACAAGCCAGAGAGTTCGGGCGGGCGGCCCGAGGGACGGGCTAGGGGGCGAGACGACCTCTCCAGAGGCCGGGGAGCAAGGCGAGACAAGCCAGAGAGTTCGGCCGGGCAGGGAGCCGGGCTTGGCGACCTCTCCAGAGGCCGGGGAGCCGGGCTAGGGGCTGGCAGCGCGACAGCAGCGGGGGGAGTCAGGGATGAGGCTGCTGGGCTGAGGGCCTTGGTGCGAGGAACAGGGGTCAGCCGGACCACCGGCGGGGCTGAAGCCGGTCCATCCGCCAACAGAACACGAGGAGCAGGGGTCGGCTGGGCCACCAACGGGGCTGGTGTTGGTCGGACCACCGACGTCTTTGCTCCTCGACGGCGGGGTCCACGTCGCCCTCCAGCTTGCCTTACTGGAGGTGGATCAGACATGAAGCCGGGGGGGGAAACTGGCCTCCACACTAGTAGGCCGCAGACTGGCTGCCCGTGCTTCTTCTGACTCCCCGGCCTTCATGGCAAAGAAGGCCAGGAGATTCATAGTCCCAGAGTCTTTGTTGGGGGGGTCACGCGGGCAGATGGGCCGGCCAGGCAGGGGGCTAACTGGCTGGGGATCAGGGCCAGGCTGGGTGCTAGCGGCGCTAGTGAGTTGGGGATCTGGACCAAACTGGGGGCTAGCGGCGCTAGCAGGCCGAGGGACAGGGTCAGACTGGGGGCTAGCAGCGCTAGCAGGCCAAAGGACAGGCTGGGGGCCAGCGGCGCTAGCGGGCTGGGGACCTGGACCAAACTGGGGGCTAGCAGGCCGAGGGACAGGCTGGGGGCCAGCGGCGCTGGCAGGCATGGGGGCAGGCTGCAACTAGCGGGTTGGGTAGGAGACCACCGAGGGCTAGCGGGGAGATGGAAAAATCTGGCCAGCCACTCTGGGACGGCGTCTCTCAGCCAAGGCCTCTGAGAAACCTTTACCTGGCCAAAGGTCAAAAGCGCCAGCTTGTAGCCCGTGTGAGTCGAGCCCCTCCACTTCTCCTCCAACTCCAACAGCTCCTTGCACAGCTGACTAGCCGCCTCCTGAAGGGCGGTTGCTGGGTCCATAGTTGGCTTGATCGTTCTGTTACGGGGTGTGGTGTGTGGACAGAGAGGACCCAAATGCAGCACTCTGAGGGAAGGAGATTTATTGAGGGAAAAAGGGTGAGAGGGACTGGAGTGGAGGGAGAGGAGGACGTCGGGGAAGCACAGGCACGGGGAACCAAGGGAGCAAGCGAGGATGGTGTGGAGAACCGGGGTTGAAATACAGGCAGTCATGAGGTGATTATTGGCAGGTGTGGCAGGCTGACGAGGTGGCGGATGGGATGCAGGTGCAGGTAGTTGGCTGGGCTCAGGAGCAGAGGGAGAGAGAGAGCACACAGGGGAGAAAACACAGGGAGGCAGGCAGAGAACAGGAAACCAAGGAAAAAAGCAGAAAAACTGATAAAAAGGAGAAAAAACCAGGACACTCACCGTCAGCCGGGCTGCCACCACAACAAAGTGGTCAATATGTAGGCAAGTAGCGGTTTAAGAAAAGAGGGTGTCATTTGCTGTAAAGCCGTGACATTGTGCTATGTAAACAAAATTAGAAGTAGGGGAGAACTGGGGACTTCCTGAAACCATGTTGTTGCACAAAAAGGAAAGAAACAGAAAATAGAGGAGAAGAAGGGTCAGTTCAGAGCAGGAGGATCTAAAATGTTTGTAAATGTGTTTTTGGACTCCAAATGGAAGTTGCTGAAGTGATTAATTCTTCCCTAACTAATTTCAAAATAATATCAAATACTTTTTGACGTTTGTGAATTTTCTGGTAGTAGGGGTGGTGTCGTGTAAAAATTCAAGACTTGGGCCAGATAAGAAAGCCTGAACTTTTACCAACATTCATATCAACAAAAACAGACACCAATTAGAATACAAAAGTTCCACCGGAGTGTGTCAGAGATCGGTGCAAAATAGAGCTCCATTCTGTTACCAGAACAGTGACCCGAGTTGACATGAAAACCATGTAACAACTGACTTGGACTTCCTTTTTTAGCTCTGTTTCTTGGCTTCACATCATCTCTTGGCTCTCTTTCTTACTGCACCTGGATCTGGGAAAGTCCCTGATTGCCTGCTCCTCCTCCCTGTGTCCTTTTCATGCCCTCCGCTTGATCATGCTATTTCATCCATAACCTGATTTTTGTGGAATAAACTGGTGTTGTTTGTGCTCCATGCTAGAAACAGGACATTCTTACTGTGATGGTCTATATTAATGTATGTTTTGTAATACATGTTTTGTCACAATCCAAATCTCCATCCGTCCCTCTCCCAAGTAGTTCCTGAGGTTCGCCTTCAGGGGCGCGGCGTACCAGTATTGAGTTTTTCTGTTCGGCCTAGCGCTCTCCCCTCGCACGTTCACCAAGTGCATGGATGCAGCTCTGGCCCCGATGAGGCTCCAGGGCATCTGCATACTACTACATTGACGACTGGCTCATTCTGGCTCAGTCGCGAGAGTTAGCGGTTCGGCATCGAGATATCGTCCTCGCCCACCTTCATCTCAACGTGAAGAAGGGCGGGCGTTGACGCAGTTTGAGTTCCCTTGAAGGGGAATGTCTCGGGTTACGTATGTAACCCTTGTCCCCCGAGAAGGGGAACGAGACATTGCGTCGGTCCGCCACACCTCACCCCGCCTGGAGTGCTTGCTGAATAACAAAGAGCTGAGGTGTCCTGTGTGCTGGCGTGCTTATACACGCCTCCAGTTACGCCGTCACACAGTACCGTTTTAGCAACACCAATAGGATTGGAGTAGTTTCATTCATGATTCAGCCCTGCCACGCCCAGAGGCGTTGCCATAGTGTCGTCACCGACGCAGTGTCTCATTCCCCTTCTCGGGGAACAAGGGTTACATACGTAACCCGAGACATTTTAACACTGTGATCCTAACTTTACACTACAAAATAACACTTTAAATGATGACAATGCAGACCATTGCTCTAGTAATTAATGATAACAATTTAGGCTATAATGCTCTAAAATAATTCACAACAGTGGACTGTCCTATAGAGTGCTTTAGTTCGCTTTAGTAAATGATTAAGGGAGCCCAAAGCTACAGTTGTTGTAGAGATTATTGTGTAAAGAAAAGTTACAGTATAAAAGACCATTTGAGAACAGATGTCATAAGGTCCCTTTTACAAATGAAAAAAGGGTTAGTAACATGCTTGGGTAAGTATTAATCTCGCAACTACGGAATAACTGAACATGCAATATCCTGTATTAAGATTTCCGATGTCATCTGTGGAGTTTCCTTTGGTTCAGTTTCTGCATGTTTACTACACTTTCAGTGCAAATTTTGTCCTGTGGAGTGATCATCAAATCAGGATGTTTGTTCTCATCTGGGCGACTTTGCTTTTCTCTGTAAGAGGCAGCAATGCAGACACAGGTATGCATTTTTATCAAAATCTTGTTGTGATGCCAACTTTAAAGATATGGATAACGATGAAAAATCAAACTACCACACACTGGTCTTACTTTACTACCTTTCTTGTTTCATATGAATAACAATGTTAGCAATAATTTTGCCTGTAAATGTTTACCTGACATGCTCTTTCAAATTACAACTATTTAGTTTTTCCACCCTGAATTTACCAGCTCACAGCATTTATTGACTTACTTGGAAACTCTGTATAAATAGTTAATAGTTTTGTAAATTACGGTTTTCTTTGCAAACAATATTAGAGATAAAGACAAGACAAAGACAAAATAACCAATCATTATTACTATTACTATGTTATTCACTAATACTATTTATCATTATATTTCTGATAATACTGTAAAGTACTGTATATATCCACACTCCTTTATATTTTAAATTTATTTTTATGTTATATGTGGCTAGGCCAGGAATGATGAGGCCAAACACACAATAAATTTGGGTTTTTATTCCCCAAATGAGAACAGCGTTAACCATGTAAAGTCAAGGGTTTAAGGCAGTTGGTGGTTATATAAAACACAGGAATAACTTTCTTAGTCATCCTTTGCTTATTGCATCTGATCTCAACTATGTGACTTAACAGTACCCTATAGTACACCTTAACCATATCACGATATGTAAACAGCTGCCATAACTAGTTCACACTCACTCTGGTAGAATCCAGTTACCTCTAAACTGGAACTCTAGACCTAAATTCTCAACAACCAAAGCTGTAAAACAGCCAAAATCTGGGCAACATCAAAATCTAGACATCTGGATTAGATAACACCACTCTAGACTAGACAACAGTA